CATTCAGTCACCATTCAACGTCACAATTTGTGTTAATTTTCTGTCGTTAGGTATCCGAGTGATTTCATGTATACGCATTTATTTACATCTGAAATCAGTTTACTGTGATTCAACCAAGATTAATGGTAGTACGAGCTGATGGCTGATATCAATTAGGAACACCGTACTTACACTTGATGGTCCTGGAAATTTATCAAATTTTAGCAGTCGGAAGTTGTGATTTTAAGATAAATGTTTGGTCTGAAGCCCCACTCTTTTAATATTATGTCGTCCAGTGATTAATTAAGATACAAGGTTTTAGCTTAGTATGATGTCAAAAGGAATTATGGGCCAATAATATTATTGCATATATGTTACGAATTGTCAAGATAAACAAAACTATTAACATTTTAAAAGCTGATTTTTTTATTACCTGTAATAGTGGATCTGAAATAACGTGACACATCTATCACGCGAATGAAACAAACAAGGTTTGGAAATATATTATGACGTCCTCCTTTTTAAAATTTTGATATACGTATTAAAAAAATGATAGCTATGTTTACCGCTTGGTTCAGTATTAAATAACTCTGTGTTTTTCGCCCATGTGGTATTTATGGGTATTCTATTTTATCGGAATAAACAGCGATTATTCACCTTAAGAGCATTGAACTTACTCGTCTTTGTAATGGAGATGCTTTGTTTTCTTTGAGGTAAGAACCGAGCTTTTAAATATTATTTCTATGAGTAGAGTGAAATGAAGAGTTAAAATTCTTTTGAACTGAAACAACTTTGGGATTGGCCCATTCCAGGCGTGACGTCTCTTGAGATATTTTAGTCTCCGTTTGCAAATTCTTAGCTACTTTCTCTCTTCTCCTCTGTCTGCATTGTTTTTACCCCCACCCTCTCACCCCATTTTCTCGCATTATAGTGTCAGAACCATTCGCTGATTGTTCAGTCCGGACCAGTACACTTTACGACGTTTATGTTGGTGAGGAACAATTTCTTTATTTGCAAAATTCGGTCTGACTACAAAACTTAAATACTCCCCGTAAATTGAAAACAGTCAACTGAATATAACGCTAATTCATGACGTCACATCTTATCGGAATATTTTATTGTTCAGACTGTAAAGAGTGTCACTCGTAATTTTCTGATAATTTCTGTTACTGCAAAACTCTTTGGTCCACATCTTCTCGGTACTTTGTTATCAGAGTTCGTGAATCTGTTCTCTTCCCTATGGATGATATTACCACTAGCGAAATTAATCCAAGACTGCGCAGATGCTTCCATGCTGCTTTTAATAATCACTACGCTTTGCAGCTCAGGCATGGTGTACAGTCCTGCTAACTTGTGGATGACAGTTTGGCTGCGCAGTAATGTAGGGAGAGTCCATTCTCAAAAGCTTGACAGCTCATTGTTACGCGCGAGAATATGGTGGGTTTACAGTGCTGATATCTCGTATATATTATTATATTATTTATTTAGTGTTCTGTCTGACTACAGGTCCATATGAACAGGATCCTTCCATCCTTTTCTCGGACTGGGACCTGTTCATATACGTTCTTGGTGTCTGACGACATGTCCATATGAACAGGATCCTTCCATCCTTTTCTCTTCTCGGCCTGGGACCTGTTCATATACGTTCTTGGCAGATGATCCAGAAGTGGTTTGCCATTGCCTTCTTCTGTGTGTGAATGGAGTAATTGTTGGGATGCCACGGAGAAACCGGTAAATCGTGTGATAATTATAGATTGTTTCCTTCCAGATCTACGTCTCCTTCCCTCCCCCTTACTACTTTAATCTTCTCACTCCTCTGGCGCTGTGCAGAGGCCGTCTTAAGATAATAAGATTGTAGCTTACAAGTAAATTTAAATTTCTTCATAGTTCATCGAACTTAATCGGACTTCGAACGCCGAGGAACATGATGGAAACATTGCAGGGATTTGGATGTGACAAGAGTGTACTTTGCATTAGCTCATGCGCAGAGATGCATGCACTAACACGCACTCTGACCCTCGTAAACAGAGCTTTAACACAGTTAACATGCCCACAGCCAACAAGTCTCTCTGTCCTCACTTAACATTTCCCGAAACTACAACGTATTATGGTACAGTTCTCAGCAAAAGTCGAAAGGTCTGTTTAAGTTGGCCTTGAGAGTCTATTTATAGCGTATATTTTGCAGGGAAGTTTGCATTTAAACAGTTGTTGAACTTGTAAAAGTATTATTTTTTTATTTTGATGTGTTTTGTAATTCGGCATATATTCCAACCTGTAATTTGAATATTATCATATATAAATTTATAATACAGATATTCTTTCGTGGATACTGCATTATTGCTGATATAAAATAATTTTATTTTCTGTGTTTTGGTAAATGTTGAAAATGTATTAAACCATATTCAGATAGAAGCTTCATTTCCTAATATTACCAAACAACCGAGTTTATCGCTTGTTCCGAACTGATGGGACGATCTGTCTGTCTGTCTTGTGTGCTTCAGTGGGGTTTAGTTTTCGTAGAATCGAGCAAACTCAGCCAGTCGCCATGACACAGAATTTGTTTCGTGGTTTCAAGGCGCCGGCATTGAATATCTGATTCCTATCCGTTCTGTATAGGACAGCTTTTCGTTTCTCAACAGCGCGATCTGTCGATAGGTTGGGTTACTCAGCATTTTAACTACTGACACTTTTACCTCTTAAGTTTTCCTGTTTGATTGATTGGTAGGTCTACAGTGGCGGTTCTCCATTTACTGTGGGCATTCGGTGTTCCAAGATCTTTCCGGTAATCCGTGAACGGGGAAAAAAATTACCGGATATCGGAGAACCGCATATACGTCACGGATTATCTTGTCTCGCGGCACTACCAGACGTACAGGGCATTTCGTAATCTGTAAGACACAGATTTATACGTTTTCAGAATAAATAAAGTGACTGGTTATAGGCTGGACAGCCGAACCTGGGCGCTGACTTTTGTCGCGTTCACACATCCTCATGGACTCGCTGAGCCAATGGCGCCCCGGGGTTTTGGGGATGGGAGTAGATTTTTCCAAAACGTGGTCTATGATGAGCTTCATTCAGGTTGTCCGCGGAACGGGTTGGATTGCAAAAAGATTGCGCTTTTTCGGGAACAGAATTTAATCTCAGTTTAAGAAGCTAGCTGCTGTCTCTCATAGAGAGGGTAGGGTCAGATCAGTTCAGCTGTGAAACCAGTGTTTGAACACCCTGTATATATATCGAGTCGCGGGACGTGGCTGTAAACCTGGCAGCATCTTTCCTGCTACTCATCAATTGTCTGCGTCCTTTTTAGTACAGGGGAGACGTTCCAGTAGTAAATTGCTTAATCACACGTCTGTTCCGCTACGTTCCGACCATCCATACACTGGACAAAGCTTAAGCCGTTTAGTGAGTAAGATATAAAGTTTCTGGTGACTGACGGATAGTGTTTAATGGCACTGTAAAAAACTGCTCTATCTGCGTTGAACGGAGACCTTTTTGAGACCAGTAATCGTTCACTTGGTCATGAAATTTTTCCCATCTTACTCGATTTGTTTAACCTATTATTAGTTGCGTTTATGTATAAATGTTCTCTATTATTATTTTATTTATTTAGTGTTCTGTCTGACGACAGGTCCATATGAACAGGATCCTTCCATCCTTTTCTCGGACTGGGACCTGTTCATATACGTTCTTGGCAGATGATCCAGAAGTGGTTTGCCATTGCCTTCTTCTGTGTGTGAATGGAGTAATTGTTGGGATGCCACGGAGGAAAACCCCGTGTTGCCTAGACCACGGCCTTGCCCAACACAAGTTATAAATTCGGGCGCCCCCGGGAATCGAACCCGAGCCCCCAGGATTACAAGGCCAGCGTTCTAACCGCTACACCACCGTGGCAAATGTCCTCTACACTTACGTATTTTTTTTATAATCTCCTTGTTGTTACATTTCTGTATTTATTATTGTGTTCTTATGTTTCTGTGTTCTGCTATATCTAATTGGCAGCACAATAATAATAAAGAATTATTGAATTTAATTATTATTAATTGTGATTTATGATTTCATCCCATTATCATCACGAAATAAATACTGACGATAATTCTGACAGAATTTAGGAAGATCTACGAGAATTCATTCGTCTCTGAGCCTTCTAGACGTGTTACACCAAGCCATTAACAGAAGTGAATGAATTATTTATTCAACGAACCTTTTCATTCTGCTTCGTGTGATATTTTATTGAAGATGTTGCAGAGATAAAGCGAATTATCCATAAGTAGGATTTGAGGTATTTACGGCGGTGAGTCTGAAGATGGCTGTCTTCTGGGTTGCAGCGCCGTATAGTCTGGTAGAATTTTATTGACATTTCAGAGGTCCATGCTGCCTCCGTTGTCAGGGCAGCAAGCACCTCTGAAACGTCGGTAAATTTGTACCAGAGTACACGGCGCTACAACCCAGAAGGTAATCGTGTTATGTTCCGTAAGTCATTTGTAGTAACTTGAATGTTAACCGCACATCAGACAAAAGATAAACTTTCTCGAAGTTTGGTGTTTCACTTCTTGTAGAATCGTAGACTCTGTCATAGCCCAAAGGGCTTCTCGTTGAGAAAATCAAAATTTCCCGTCTTAATTGTTTCAGGTATGTTAAATAATTTGCTCAAGTTCTTCATTTTTCGTTCTGCTTTGAACACACTCAAAACTAGATGCAATATTTTCTCAATTGTCATTTTCAGGGTCGACCTAAAGAGATTCTGGGATCCACATCAAAGTTCTACGTCACTCAACACAGAAACTTCTGCTTGGTGAGTGTAAATACTTCTATTTAAATCGGTGGTAGAAATATTAAGAAAATATATAATACAGATACATTTTTAACAATCAGTAGGATTGATCGAATATTTTATCTTGCTGCTTAGAAGTGTCAAATATAAAATATAGTAATTTCAAAAGTGTAACAATTCTGATAAGACTTCAGGGAAAGTGAATGAGAAGTAGATTTATTACAAAATTTCTATATCATAAATCTTTATGTTAAAAGATTGGATGAACTTGCTGAACTGAAATGAATATTTAGATGAATCATTTGAACAATCAACAAAGCAGCACAAAATTTGAACTTTTATTGAATTGGAATAAATTTGTTGTACTCTGATATTGTGTGACCAGGTTTAAACTAGACGGATTCTAATTATTGTCCACGACATTTATCTAAAAATTTTGATGAAGAGGACCCATTAGGGTGGAAAGTTTATATGTCGCCCTCTGCCCTCATTCGAAATAACATTTATCAGTCACAAGCACAGTTCGAGCATTGTGTAAGAGTAACGATAGATCGAAAATTGCGTCTCAGAATGTTTTCTTACCGGTGGATAAATGCACTGCCGTTCCGTACCGTTGCATAAACCAAGCCGTGACGAGCCGAGCCAAGCCAAAATGTCTACTTCGGAGTGAAGACTTCCAAGTAAATTGATGCTTACAATAAGTGACCGCTTGATGGTTTGCGTGGCCCTCCTGATGGGGTGAGGTGCATATCGTGCTTTATACTCTTTAGAATAAGGATTCAGACAGACCTTTCGTTTTGGATCCTCTTACAAGAACAGAAAGGAAAACAGAGCATGCAGACAACTTACTCAGATGGGACAGCTTGTACGCATCTGCAGTGTTGATGACGTCCACATACGAATGGAGTTCAAAGCGACGAGCTGTGATATTTTGATTGTGATTCAACATGGCGAACTTGAAGGCTGACTGCACCTCGTCGGTACCCTGCTCAAATATGGCGCCTGAAAGAGAGACAATTTGAAAGTTTTAGAGCTCAGTTAATTGCTTTCTTGTGACGAACATTTCCGGATAATTGATGTATTTTTATTTAGTGTTCTGTCTGACGACAGGTCCATATGAACAGGATCCTTCCATCCTTTTCTCGGACTGGGACGTGTTCATATACGTTCTTGGCAGATGATCCAGAAGTGGTTTGCCATTGCCTTCTTCTGTGTGTGAATGGAGTAATTGTTGGGATGCCACGGAGGAAAACTCCGTGTTGCCTAGACCACGGCCTTGCCCAACACAAGTTATAAATTCGGGCACCGCCGGCAATCGAACCCGAGACCCCAGGATTACAAGGCCAGCGTTCTAACCGCTAGACCACCGTGGCGTTATCATTGATGTGAGAAAATGTTATTCGCCACCCCATCCAGATCGACTCTGCACACTGGGGACGTTGGGTTGTTCCACTGACTAAGATGGACGGAGCTTGAAGTTGTTTTCCACTATTCGTGTTTTGCAGAGATTGAGAATGCGTGGATTTACCCCTTACTCCTGCTTATATCATCAAATCATTATGTTTAATTACGTATTGGGACAATTTACTTTCTTCCTTGGACGAAGTTGTAATAAAGTGAAAGACTTTCGAAGTTCAAATATCTGGAAATTTTATGTAGCACGCATGGTATATGTGAGAAACGCTTACGAAATTTTTATCCGGGTACCACGTGTGACGAGAGTACTCGGGGGGGGGTGGCTCAGGTGATAGGATAACAAATTAAACGAAAGTTAGTTAAATAATCATCTGCTGAAGATGTTCTGCTACCAGCTGTTGTGAACACGGTAATGAATGTTCGGATTACACAAGAGGCGGGGTATTTTTTGACTAGCTGAGCGGCTGTCAGCGTCTAAAAGGAGATAGTTAAAAGTTAGCTTCCCAGTCTCTCTCTCTCTCTTCCCCCCCCCC